ATTACTGCAAAGCTTTCGATCCGTAAGCCCGGATCTTCATCAGTGCTAATAATATGTCATTATTAGCACATATTATTGCACTGATGAAGATCCGGGCTTACGGATCGAAAGCTTTGCAGTAATAAATTTACGTAGTGTTTCCACAAATAAAAACAATTATAGTATTGGACATGTATGATTTTTTCCGCGCTTATACTAACGGTTACCTAGGATACAGTTGTACAATTGTTGAAATTACTTGAAAGGATAAATTGTTTTATCGTTTTCCTGAAATGAAATGGACAAAAACGAAAAAGAATCAGGGATCGATAATGCTCTTCAGGGGATGCCAATTAAAGGTTTGTTTCTATGTCTTGATTTTTGTTTCTTTGATATAATTTTGGCTTTTAAAATATACATTTTGGCAACGAAAAATTAAACAACTCAATTTGTGTTTTGTTTTTGTTCTGTTCGATCGTCGTGTATTTTCTCACTTTTTGCTTATAGATGGAGAGGAAACGTCTTGTCTCAGTGATAATTTATTGGTCAAGAAAGGCAGAGAGTTCAGAGTTGACACCATAAAATGCATTTGTCCATTGTATCGGCATCGGCGTATCGGTATTAAAATAGAAATATCGGTGTCGGTGAATTTGTACGTTGTTGATATTACCGATATTAGACTACAAGCTGTTATTAAATATTAATGGCTGGTATAGTGTTGCAGTTTAATAGTTATTGTCATTTTTATTACAAATAAACAGTCGCCAGCATAGTAAATATATGCTAGTTTGCTTCGTGTATTTGCAGCATTTCATTTGATATTTTCAGTGTTTAGAAACAAATGAATTGAATTAAATTCAAAATTATTAAAGTAGAATTGTCATGATGTCATCTTTGAATTTTGTGAAATGACATAGAATATTGCTATTGGCAAAATATTGGTCCTTCACCCCCTCAGGCAGGCTGACCAGATTAATCTTGTCTAATTCCCCAACCCATAGGGACAACATTGGAAAAAATTACATGCTCCAAATAAAATTGAATTTAAAAAGATCAAACTCAGGCTCACCAGGACCATTCAACAGGACGCTCTTAGGCTGCTAGCGGGTGTATACATTCCCTCATAATGCCCCACATACCATGGTTGCGGATCCACAAGAGCAAAACCCCAGCCTACTCAGTCGAAACTAAGAGTCAAAAGAAGGAAAAACGCCTCACATGTGCCCACCTTTTCCAGAGGCTGGGGTTACAATTGACAAGTGATTAAGGTGTTAGTGGAACCTGATAGCAAAATAATGTGTATTACTGCAGCATTATTAACATTATGCTTTTTCAGTTCACCAAGCATAATCTAGATTAGCCTGGATCCAGCCCTCCTAGAATCAATACAATAAGTAGGCTTCATCTATAATAACAAATTACAGTTTCTCATTACTTTACCAAGTTTTTACAACATTTTGTAACTTAGCATTAAAAATGCATTCTGGACAAAATTACATATTGTGAATCGCATGGAGTTAGGTAATGGATAACACTGTCAGCTTCCGTTTTGAGAGATGAATTGAAGTACAATGCATGTATTCCTTTATATCTTCCTTAAAAAAATTAGGTGGTTGTATTACAGTGGTCAATGTTGTAGAAATGACGTATAACATGCTCTTCCCTAATCCAGTTGGCATAGTCACAACACAATCATCACCATTTAATATTGTTTGAATAGTTTCAAGCTGGCCAGCTCTAAATGTTTGATATCCAATGTAAACACAGTTTTAAGCACATGTCGTGACTTGTCCTCTTCAGATACATCTGAAGGAATTTGGATGTTTAAGTTGGGCGAAATAAATTGACTTGGCACATATGTCGGTAAGTGACGGCAATCAATGTATAATAATGCAAAAACGCAGATAGTTTACATGTCAACACATTAATAAATAAATTAAGGTCAAATACTTTCTCCTTGGTAAGTAAAATCATCTGATGTTAGACAGAGCAAAATAAATGGACACATTGCAGCTAAATGGGTTAAGTGGATTTCCAATTTAATGATCCAAAATAGTCAATGGAATGGCACTATATTTACAATATATTTAAAAAAGTTAATGATTTGTTTTTTTTAAGAAAGCTGAGAAGGTATTAACATTTAAATACTCACATGTTTGTAATATGTTGGCATAGATTTCAAAATGACCGATTCGTAAATTCGTTTATAACTTTACATGTAAAACTTGGCATTCTTTAAGGCTTGAACCCCAATTTCCTACTTGTTTAATGCAGTCTCCTCGTATCTCACTGAGATTATCTGAGATAAACTCACGTAGCCCTTCCTTTGCCTCAGTTTATAGCAACTTTTCGTCCGAGTTTCAAACGTATACATTGGGATGGATTATTCTACAATGATGAGCCAAACGACTAGGTTCAACTATATTTATCTGCCATTTGCATTCCACATCCGGACAAGCAGCAACTTTGCTAGTTGTCCAAGCGTTAAAAAAGCGTTTGCCTGCTCCCATATCGCGTAACATTACACGATTTCCCACCATCTTGTCAGTTAAGAATTGACAAAAAATGTTACCCCCATTTGAAGCTATATTCTCACATCCCTGCATGATGCCGCCATATTGGGAGAGAAATTTGGCAGAGGTTATTTTTTCGCTCGCTCTCTTTTTCGTCTTCGCCCGCGTTAATTTTGTTTAGCACACTATCGCGATTAACTCCGAGAACTATATCCGAAGGGAGCCGAAGAACATTATAAATAGAATAAACAACCTCTGCGGCGGAGAGAGTCTCGGGAATTCCGCCATTTCTCTGCCATTTTGAAAACATGTGAGTTGGTGCTTCCGCAAAATATCCCCTTTTCTTCTCTTTTCCGGCTGCAATGCATGTTGGTCTATGGCAGCGATAAGTCAATTGTGTTTTTAAATTTTAAAAATTTACTTTTCAAAAAAAATTTTGTGGCAGCGATGGGCCATAGGTAATTTTGATTTTCTTTTCATTTGTTTTTAAATTTTAATGTCGTTTCATTTTGTTTTTATATTGATTTTTTTCATATAAAATTATTTTTAAAATAAAAATAAGAAACATAAATCAATAAAATAAAAAATAAAAAAAATAAAAATAAAAAATAAATAAATAAAAAAAAAAATAAAAAAAATGTTATGAATTTTCTTATGGCAGCGATGGAAATCGAAAATATACAATTTCAACCAGCAAAAACCATTTTCACAAATCTTTGGCTAACAATTTGAAGAAATTTAATTCCTCTCTCAATTTTTTCATATTTGCGGAGATAACTAGGAATACTTATGAAATCTCGGTCAACACATACAACAAGCTCTTACATGACAACAGTACATAAACAATATAAACATGGATCCGAGAACATTATAGATGAAATTGACTTTGAAGTAAAAGACACTTCGAACAGTTTAGGAATCGGCGACAAAATTAAGAAAATGAAAAAACGTGAAGCATTTACAATTTTAAAAGGCCACAAAGAAAATTTTGTAAACAATTCAAAATGCCAACTAATTAATCCCGCTAAAAGCGAATCAGGAAAATTGAGTAAAATTATTTTAGATGAGATTAATTCTAATTTGAGACAAAAACTGACTTTGAACCAGTGGTGAAATACAAAACAAGTAATTGAATGGTTTAGCAATATAAAAGATAAATAAAGGCATAGTTTTATTTCGTTTGACATTGTTGACTTCTACCCATCCATTTCTGAAAAACTTTTGAAGCAAGCGTTATCCTGGGCTTCTAATTTGGCTACCATTTCGGAAACTGACATTTCGAGCATAAAACACGCAAGAAATCTGTGCTTTTCAACACCGGAAAACGTTGGAAAAAAAGATAGTGAAGGTTTGTTTGACGTCACCATGGGCAGCCATGATGTCGCGGAAATGTGTGAATTAATTAGCCTTTTTATTCTACACCACCTAAGTAAGACGTTTAGAAAATAAAGCATCGACCTATATAGAGACGGCTCTTACGAAAAGTAACTGGGCACGTTTAGCAGACAAAACAAGGAAAAACTCTGCAAAATTTTCGAGCTGTTTGAACTAAAAATCGCCGTCAAATCAAATTTACGCATAGTGAACTTTTTAGATCTAACTTTCGATCTCAACAACGGAAAATATAGGCCTTATATGAAGCGCAATGACGATCCGCGATCCATAAATAGGCACTCTAACCATCCACCTAGCATTAGAAGGCAGCTACCTACATAAATTAACAAGCGCATTGAACTGCGTTCATCAGATGAGCAAATATTTCAGGAATCAGCGCCTGCCTACCAAAACGCACTCATTTCCTCTGATGAGATGGCTACTCAATTTACGAAACTCTATGGCCTAAATTTGAAACTTGTTTTCCATTAACTGTAGGTTAAAAGCCAAGGGAGAGGTTTTTATTAAACTGTGAAGACCGAGGGCCGAAGGCCCAAGTTCTTTACAGTTTAATAAAAACCGATACCCGCGGCTTTTAACTTGTTTATATACACATCAGACCATATTCTTTTGAATTTTGGAGGTTTCCTTCATTAAAAATGCAAGCTATATTAATTCAATGAGAGGTCGCTGCAGTTGTGGGACGAAATAACTAGGTGTAACATGCGCATTAACACGCTTTAAAATGTGGTTAAGCATGCGCAGTATATCATTTCACGTCCCACAAGCAAAAGAGCAGATATTACTGTATAAATTCCCTGCACAAGCATGTTTGATGGTTGATCCAGCTAGTCCTCGTGCGCCGAATGATAGATACTCTTAGTAACCTAATGGTAGAGTTTTGACGGGCTCTGAGGTACACGGCTGTGTTGTCTCTTTCTCGACTTAGAGACGTGCAACGTTTTCGAGTGTTTATCTCATCTTTCACCTGTTGTATTTCTTCGTCTTTGTTTGTCAGCAGAGTGGTAAGTTCATGGATTGCTCTGTTTGTATTTTGGAAAAAATTCAACAAATTCAGCTTCGAGAGAAGCAAGGTTTGTTTTTACTGTTCATAATGATTTTTCTTTAGGTCACTTTGGTGAGCTGGTTTGATTCGCAGGATGTTGATCTTTTGTTGTTGTTGTTGTTGATGGTGTGGAGGTGGTATTGGGTCGTTTCTGAGTAATTGTATCAAGAAAGTTGTTTATGTCTTTGGTGGCATCCAGTTTTACGGAGTCTGGAGAGTTTACGAGTTCTACCAAAGGGTCAAATTCGTTGTTGCCCAATTCCTTCATAAATCGTCCTTGAACTTGTATTCTTCCCGTCGTTATCATTATTGTGATTGTTAGGATTATCTTACTCTTCATATCGGATTTGTATCATGTTTGTTGTCTTCGAGGCCATGATAATATCTTTGCTTCATAAAATTTATCCACTTTGGTAATCTTTTTTCGGATGTTGAGAAGGCAACAAGGTTAGCATTTTTGTAATTAGAGTAATCCAGATCTTCAAATGGGACTCGTTTGGCGTTCGTGTTATGAAATTTTCGACTTCAAATCTGTTTAGATCGGTCGGTTTGTTAATTGACGATGTTGTTGTCATCTCGGTTGCCATGATTTTTTATTTCGGCTATTGTTTGCCAAAATAATCGATTTTCATATAATTTATTTCAAATATATTCACCTTCGATCTTTATAAAAGATAATTCAGTATAGTATAGAATAGAATAGAATAGAATAGACTATCTCTACCGACTTTAAACCTTAGGCTTAAAGTAGGCAAATTTGACAAAACTTGGTGAGTCGATCGTAAAATAAGTCAGTTATTGGGGCGAGCCTGAGCGAGCCCCAAAGTTTAGTGGCTCATCGAGCTCAAGCACAATGCATTATGGAGCGTTCGTTCGTTCGTTCATTCGTTCGTTCGTTGTACGAACGTACATGGAACTTTTTCTACAGTGATATAAATCCTACGGACTTTTCGCCTCGCACCGGCTATTTTGCTTTATACAATGATTTACAGTAAAATTTACGAGCCTTTCGCCTCTCACCGGCTGACAATTTTGCATGCCACATGCGATGAAATATATTCTTCATGCCAAATAACAAATGGAAATTGGAATGGTCAGTATTATTTATAGTGGTCAGTATTATTAAGCCCATCGCAATTTTACTTTACTCGAGTGAGTTGTGGTTCAAATTCAGATACAAAGCCCGATTTGATTTGTCATTTGGGCTGAATATTCTGTAATTCTGTTATTCTTCTCTAAGACTAGGAAAAAAAGACCTTATTTGCACGTTTTTGCAATCCGACTCTCGGTATATGCATGCATTAAATGTTTTGTTTACATGCAGTATTATTAAGCCCGTCACAATTTTACTTTACTCGATTTCTGAGTGAGTTGCGGATCAAATTCTGCGGAGCAGACGTGGATTTGATTTGGGCTGAATATTCTGTAATTCTGTAATTCTGTTATTCTTCTCCAACACTTTGAAAAAAAGACATTATTTGCAAGCTTTTGCAATCCAGATCTGTACAGTGTATGTACTATTTAAAGCACGCGTAGGAGTGTTTTATCACACATAAAACACGACGCGTAGGCTTAACAAACGACTCATCTTATACGAGTTCATTGGCGAAGTAATTTTTAAAATAAACTTTGTCTAAACCGAGAAAATCAAAGTTTATGTAAATTAACATGATTTTTTATCACATATAAAACCACGACACGCTTATGATTTTTCTTTGTGTTTTGCTCCTGTATTATTAATGAGTTTTATATATATATATATATATATATATATATATATATATATATATATATATATATATATATATATATATATATATATATATATATATATATATATATATATATATAACGGTACCGTCTGTATTTCGCGCAGATTATTGTCCAGTATTTTTCTTTTATGCGCACACACAAATATAACTTGCGATTCAGAAAGAACAAGCTGCGAGGGCCTTAAAAGCGCACATAGAGACTCTTAAAACTAAACCGTATGACTAATTAAAATGTGCACGCTTGATTTCTCCCATACTCCTTGGAAAATGTTGCAAAATTATGTGCAAAAAGCTAATAAAAAATAAAAGTTCATCTTTTAGTGATCAACATACATCAAATTATCTGGTACTTTAATAGTTCATGAAACACTTTCCCAAGCTTGAACTTTTATTGAATTCAACTTGTATTTCAAACTTTCAATTTTGTACACAAGATACTTTAATATGATTTTTGAGACCAACCTTCCTGTACTCAAGGAGTGGCATCGGCCAGATTTTAGTAGCTCGCATATTCGCCTATTGCTCAAGAACTGGACGATAGCGTGAAAGAACTGTGCACAGTGAATGGTTGCTTGCATCACTCCAGATGTTGCTTGCTATTTTTGTTATGCATGGGCGGGATATTGGAAGCAATATGACAGCAATGACATCATGGCATACGAAAACAAATTAGGACAGCAAATTTAAGAAAAAATTACACCAAATAAAAACTAGAACTGCGACATCAAATTAGTTGAACGAAAAACCGCCTTGGCAAGAAGTCATTATTAGAAAGATCTAGCTTTCACCCACATGTGTGGAAGGCTTTTTTCGACATGTTCAAATAATAACATTTCAGCTTCGGCAGATAACACGAACTGTGTGGCAATAATTAATACTCATTCAACTACTGAATGTCAAATAACATTGCACCAAGAAAAATAAAACAGTGTGTATTTACATTTTGAAAAGTTTTTAAAATGTTATGCTTCTATGCAGATATGCATGCCATCAATATGCTAAACATTTACAGTGCGTTTTTCATCATTTTTAACTACTTTTATTATACTGTAGATCTCTTAATGTATTAAGAATGTTGTTCAATTCCCAGTCTTTTCTTTGCACCAAATCAAAAAGAATGTTTCTAAAATAGTGACTTTTAATATGAGCTGGCGTCGTTAAATTAGTAAAGCAATTATCAGTACATTTTACCTAAATTTGGAATCATGGAACGCAATGCGTTAATTCTCAACCACAATCGCACCTATAGCCATTTGTAACAGAAGCTATTGAGTGAAAGATTTAGGCAGAAATATTTATGAATTCATAACGAAAAATGTCGTGGCAAGAGCAGTTTAAGGCTTAAGAGCTCCTAATATTCCTTACAGTGTTGTAACGAGTCGAGTCATTGACACGGACTCGAGTCGACTCGAGTCGCTATTTGCAGCTCGACTCGAGTCCATTACGAAAAATGATTCGACTCGACTCGAGTCAACAACCCCAAATGACTCAACTCGGACTCAACTTGCTGATTTTTGCCCTAAATGACTCGAGTCAAATCAGCTACAACTTTTACAGAATAAATTCATCAAAATTATTGTCATTGTATTGCTTGGGAAGAACAATGAGTCCTTCATGTAAACAATGCACGAGAACTTTGAAACTTTATCAGAAAATATCAGAGTCTCAAAATTGTGTGTACTTATACTAATTTTGACCGGCTCTTTTCATTTTTGGTATTCAGTATGAAGTGCTATATTATTTTAAATTAACTTATACGGCGTGATTAATTAAAGTCTATTCTTCGTTAATTCTGACTCCATGCAGTTGCAAATTATGCTAGTTGTATGTACGTACACTCGATCAGCAGACAAGATGAGACAGCTCATGTAATCGTACTTAATATTGACTAGAACTGTGATATTGGTACAGCCTAGCTGCCCAGATACTCTTATTAAATGACTAAAGTAATTGGCTATAGCTTAAAAGGCAAGTCTGATTACAAATTTCAGACTACAAGCTAGGGTAGCAAACCATTACGGAAAGGGTGGGGTGGACTTGATCAAATTCCCTAACTCAAGTCAAGTTTAGATATTGCCTCGACCTGACTCGGCTTCAACCATTGACTCGACTCTAGTGAAGCCGCTAGCTCGACTCGATCAGAAACTGAAATGACTCGACTCATGACACGACTTGTAGGTGACCTCGTTACAACACTGATTCCTCATATTTTGTTTTACTTAAAATGCCGTGAGAGACATCAAGCATTAGAAAATGAGCCTTACATGCGGTTGCCTAAACATTTGAATAATGAAATATTCATTTGAACATTTACCTTTCACAAAGCGAAACTTTCAATTCCTTGGATAGATTATTTTCTGTGCTGTATTTCTTTTGACATCCAATTTAAACAAGAATGCAAGAAACAATTTGAAACAAGATGGGAGTGAATGTCTCAAACACGTCCTTAATATCGTTCTGACAGTTGAAACAGCTGTCAGTATTCCTTCATACATATATAAAAAGGATTTTGTCGAAAACGCGATATTTAGAAATATTGAAGGCAAGAAGGATGAATAAAAAGAAAAACAACTTCAGTTCCATGTTAGCTTTCATTTGCTGTGCCATATTCTAATTTTGAAGATTTCTTTTAAATTTCAACATGAATAACCGGTTATATGCAAACGATTTCGGGTGATATACATCCACTTATTTATTCTTGATCGATGGGATGTGAATAAACAGCTATATGTTAAATGAACGATCTTTTAGATATCCACAGCTGAATAAGCATGTGTAAAATACCAAAACAAACACATAAATTCAAACTTCCCGCCTGAAAGTATCTGATTAGCTTACTATAACTGAGGAGAATAAAATACTTTCCGCTTCAATCCCCGAATGGTCATTATACATGAGAGAAAACATTGCTCACTGCTGACTTTAATTACGCGTCCTTTTCTGTTTTTGTTTGGCCCTTATTGAGAAAGAAACGTTTTTTATCTGAATGGACTACGTCGCTCTACTGAACAAGCTCCACCGATGAAAGAACGTGAGGCTAAAATGTTTTAAATTCAGGGCGAGCAAAGCTAGTTTCACAATATGCATTTTTATATGTAATATAATATATAGAAATATTTTTTTAGAAAATCACACATCTGTAATTGTACGCAAGCTGAGACATTTAAAGACAAAATATTAGATTTTAATATTACCTTTTACAATGTTCGACTTCTATTTATTTGGATAAATAATTGTCGGCGATGTTTGTTAGACATGTAGCGGCTGTAGATTTAAGTAAGATGAAACTTCGAGATATTGTGGCAAACATATATGCATGTCATTTTCTTGAGAGAACTCAAGTGTTGGCAACGCAATTATAGGTGAGTTCACTATACCTTGCATGCGTCATTTCCTCCATGGTTTTTCGCAAATTTCTTTACGTCCTGTATAATAATGGCAAACCAAACGCGTTGAGAAGGAGGCGACATATAAACACGCTTCGCATAAAATATCTTGCAAAATACTGGTCTTAGGAACAAAAACATGGTAAATTGCGTTTTACATAAATTATTTTCAAAAATGAAAC